TACAGATTAGAGGAAGTTATCCAAAAGATCTCTGTCAGGTAGATCTAGAGTTATAAAGGTTTAAAGTGGGCAACTGAGGAAGGTTGAATTTACGACTACCTCTGCAGATACAACCCGAAGATGAAACTAATCATTTTATTAATAAAAGAGACAATTAGGGCCAACTCAGTCTGACTTGAGAACTAGACCACCTTCTAATGACTCTGAAGATTGGATAATTACTACTGAGAATAGTATGGCTCCTAATTAGTAAAATAGTAATTACCGAAGAAGGTGTGGTAGTTTTCAGTATCTCCAGGTATTTGCATCTTCGAAGAAAACCCGACGTTGTGAGTTATAACTAGAGAAGTACATAGTTTGTATAATATATAGATGTAGTCTGCAAACACTCAGATGCAGAATATAAATATTGAAGTTCCTCCTAAAGCTTTTAGATATTATCAAGCAACAGAGAACAGACTTTAATAATATAATATTGTTCTTACAATTCTATTCTACTTTACCTACTCTTAGTAGTCATTAATGAAATGAGAATATTTTGAGCCTTCCTAGACAATCTCTATCTACTAAAATGAATCTTCGTTGGCTTAGAAAATTCTGAATCTATACAGGTTGCCTCTACCTAACAGTTGGTAGAACAATTTAATATTATTAAAATCTCTTCTCCATTGCTTGATAATTTTTGTAAAGCTCAGGAGATATTTTGATATTTATATTCTACATCTGAGTAGTCGTAGACTACTTCTAACTATTATATAACTAAGTACCTTTTTTCTATCCATACGAAATGGTCCATGGTCCTAACAAGTATGAACACTGTTTGACCCTGAATTCTTTCATATCATCTTTGTACTCTTTGATAATAAAATCTTTACTATCAGACAATGTGGCTCTAACTCCCAACCAACTGTCTCCAATTTATAGAGTTGAATAAATACCTTTCTGAAACCTGTTAGGTATACTGGAGTGTACAGACCCTCAATTATTAGAGTTGCCAATACCCCCTTCCAGCCTCTGTATAAGGTCTACACATTCTTAGTATGATTTCAAAGAGTTATGTCCTATGACTATAATGTTATTTCAATGAAGTCCACATCATAATACCATATATGTTACTGTCATCTGCCAGACCAGAAGCTGTTGGCAGGATCATTGAGAGGGGACCTCTGGGTACCTCTGAGAAGTAGAATGGAGAATATCTATTGCAGGTACATTGAGCTACTAGACTTCAAAGATTGGCATCATAATTATAAGTTACAGGTAATGGGACATTTTCATCACAATAATCCACAACCACTCATACAGTTCTCCAGATGCCATTGGAGATAAAAGTGATACCAATACATATCTAAAGGCCACTGTATGTTAGTTGGTTTTAGAAACAGGATATCTCTAGGTGATTCTCTTGGAGGTAAGATGGACTGAGGGGAAGCTACTCAGACTCAGAAGACCTAATAGGTGATAGACATATAGCGTTAGCATACTGTCTACTAAGCCTGCAACATACACAAGTGCTCAACACATAAGTTGGCTAGTTTATCCATTCAGAAAAGACTAATAAAATGATAGTCAAGTAGACAGAAGTTTCAGAAAGAAATCTATTTGACTCTATAAATTCGAGACTGTCGATTGGAAGATAAAAGCATATCTTCTAGTGGTCAAGAGCATGAAAATAGTGTAAAAGAATTTACAGTCAAATGGTGTTCGCACTTGTTAAGACTGAGGCTTGTTGCGTACAAATTTAAGAAAGATACCTAGTTGTATAGTAGTTAGAAGTAGTCCACAAATACTCAGACATGAAATATAAATATTAAAGTACCTCCTAAGCTTTACAGATATTATCATGCAACAGTGAAGATATTTTAACAATATAAAATTATTCTACCAATGAATCTTCATTAAGATATCATTATTGTTTTCTTAATTAAGTTTTTAGTAGTCATAAATGAAAAGAATACTACCAAGCCTTCTTAGACAATCTCTATCTATACCAAAGATTTCAGCCTAAGTCTTCTTGACACATACTAGAACTGGCTTCCACCTAACAATTAAATGAGTTATGAAATTTCTTTTTTAAGCTATTGTTAAGTATTTGAGGAATTTTCAAGAGATTTCCAGATACTGGTCGATTAAGGTTGAAAATTTAATATTAATAAGAATTCTACTGAAATAGTAGAAAATCTGAGGGAAAGATAAAGTAATTATCATACACAATTTATAGTATATTTAGAGAAGCTTCTTATTAGACTTGAGAAATCATCTTTCTAAGGAATTATAAAAACATTAGACATAATAGATTATATCTAAGAAATATATAAATAATATTCCATTTAAAGAAAATAATTATTCAATAGTACTACATAGTAGCAAATGGTAAAACAAAATAAAATCTAAAACAGAGGACTTAAAGTGACAAAATAATACTAACTAAACAAGTAATGGAATTCAAACAAAATAAATCAAGTAATTGCTCCTCAGTTACTAATTTGATAGTAACAGCAGTACAAGGTAGTACCCAAATAAGTAAAACATAAGAAAGGTACAAATAAGGAAATAAAGAAAAATTATTACCAACTAGGCAAGCCTGAATACTAGTATAAAGAAAAACATATGTACTATCATACATGGTAAAGTTCTAAGTAGGTGAGAACTAACATCAGGCTAGTTATAGTAGTAGGAAATAACAGGATTCCATTTTACCCTTGTACATATCCTGTTCCAACCCTGCCCCTAATATTCAGGTACTTCTTACTATTGTTGATATAATACTTGTATGGCTACTCATATTACAAGTGGTATAAGTGCCCTCAATAATGCCCTTCGCCTTTACGCCATAATTCAGATTGAACGCGATGAGCCCTGATCCTCCACCCGAATCAATTCACGGACTTAAGGGAAAGAAACAAAAAGCATTAACAAATCGTTCTCATGCTTTCCATTTCTCCACTCCTCTATATCGATGTTTCACTTTCTTTTTTTTCTTCTTTTTTTTTCTGACCAGATTTGCTGGCTGGACCCAGAGGTTCTGTAGTTTTCAGGTATGGCTCGCTCAAAGCGAAGGGGTTAAGTCGGTTCGAAAACATCGATTGCCTTATGATATTATCGAATGGACCGATCATTTATCATACACTAACAGCCCTTCCCAGCCCTGCCCCCAGGGGACTTGTAACCGAACAGTCTCACCGTGCCAGGGCTATAATACTTCAGGCGGTCCCCGAAGTATGGCACCATCGAATCAGATGTCACTAGTAATTGACCCAATAGATACTCAGTATAAGGGATTATGCAAAAGAGGGAGTGGAGTAGATAAAAAATGGCTTGATGTAATGAGGAACCCAAACCGGCAGAGAAACCAGGTACCAGGGGTATCATACCGGACCAGCACTTGTCCTCTGGATCCCCATGCTCAAAGATACAGGTGTCGTAAGCAGAAAATAGTGTAACTCTCGTTGTATGATACCAGTAGTCAAATTTCGAACGCCAAGAAGCTACGAAGTCTGAAACAACACCTCCACTTCTCTATTTTCTCTTTGCCCCCATTCTCTAGCCATTATTACAAACCTACCTAGACTATCATTGACCTTGCCCTGACTATTGCCAAATTATCCAAAGATTGATTCTTCTGCGGGTCTCTAAGCGGTATTCCAAAAGCCAGGTGAGCCCGCTTCTTCATCGGCTAACAATGTTACGGTATCCGTAGGAAATAGGAAAATATTTGCTATCACCCTGGCCACGTTAATGCAACGCGGAGGGCCGATTCAACAAGAAGCATCTAATTTTCCTCAAGGGAAATTACCACTCTGATAGCATCATATATTCCTGCTCGAGGCAAAGAGAACCCTGGCTTATGGTAGTTGACAGGCTTATACCAACACCAGGATACAATTTGGACCGGAGATTTATACCGAATGGGTTTTCGTAATAGCGATCCCAGCCCAGTGTCTGACAACTCATAGGACACCCAGTGCCCCGAACCAAAGGGGGGGGCAAGGCCCACTCCAAATCCAAACCCACGGTTACGCACATATATGCGATTCCAAATTTAAGTGCAAACTGCCTCAAAGTGCGAAGCTCAACGGACCCACATTACCCCATCGCTCACGCCACACACCGTACCGGTGAGCCCTCCGCACAAGCGCCAACACAATTGTAACAATGATATCTTTGACGGTCAGGGTAGTCGTTTGGTACAGGGGTGTGAACCCACAAAAGCGCCTTAAATCTTTTATGCATGGTAGAGGAGTGGCCCTCGCCCAACACGCTACGAACCATTTTCGGAATCTCTGCCTTGGTCCCACCACTCTGGTTCATATATAGGCCTACAGGGTAACGCGGAGTCGCCCGGGTGCTAAGGTTGGGAAGTTCAATGCGGGCTATGATTGGCCAAATAAGGCAACACAAGATCGTCGATGTGTTTCTCGAACGTTTCTTTTGTTCTTCTGAGGTTTACCAAGACAAGCCCTGGGCATGCGGCATCCCGTTGGGAGCCCCAAGCGCCCGACCCGTTTCCGTTGGATAAATGCCAACATACGGCATGAGAGTCTTTTCAAACACATCGCCGAGAACTCAATGGGCCACATGACACCCCCCCTCAATGGTCGGAGGACACAAATCTGAAATACCACAGGGTGTAAATTTCCTACGGCTGTCAGGGCCAGTCGACAGCAAGTTGGCCGTGAGCTCTTTTTTTTTTTGCCAGTTGTCTGCAGGCAGCTCAAGCCCTGATCGCCACCTTCATATCTTATCACTCGAGCTTCGTATGCGTTGCAGCCAGGGTCTTGACCTTATATACTAATCAAAAATAACTTTCTGGGCGACAATCGCGCAAGAATGCACGTACGAGTACTCGTAGAGGCGGCTTGTGTTACTTCTGCTCATTGGTCGCGCGAGTAATCAATGCTTCATTCCTGAGGTCAGGCATAGTATGGTGAGCAGCTGACAAAAAAATAACGCATCCAGGACGCATCACTCAGGCCTCGGAGACATGCGAGACACAGCTGATGACTTTCACGCGATACTCATACCTAATCACTCGCGATGCACCATTGTGTGTCGCTTTGGCCCCTAAAAACCCTAGAAACAGCATAGCACCCCCTGTCCGTGCAGCCAAAAGCAAAAAAAGAGCGATCGAGCACTCGCACTTAAAACATTCCAATTTCCCTCGAATGTACTCGTACTCCAGAGTACTCGGTACAAGTACAACACTCGAGCACAGCAGGGCAATGGGACCTTAACAGCTCTAGCCTCTGGCCTGTTTTCTGAAACATGACTCTTCACAGCTCCGATACTTATCATGGTCACTGGCCTCCGCGTGGTGGTAACACTGATTGACTTTCGCAAGAGATCAAAGCCAAACAGCCCGATGTCTGGGGGAAAAGCTCCGAAAGTTGATGCATTAATTCTTTTTCCTAAGCGGCCGGAGGATCCGTGGGCAACGCACGGGCTCCTTTGCTCCATGTTTATCGTCGCATCAATGTGACGGGTGTGAATTCCGGTTTTCCCGTACGAGTAGTATTTCTTGTCAATAGGCTGGGAAGCTGGTTGGACGATAGCCGAATAAATGGCGGGAGGATCATAGCAAGAACAGCAGATGATTGGGGGGACTAATGGTGGAAAGATCACCACCGGCGACACTGCATCGGGGGTCGTCGAAAAACAAAAATTATGACCTGGGACTTGTGCCAGTATGAGTACACGAGACACCAAACCGGTAGCTACGATGCTCGAGCGGCACTTCACACAAAACACGAGGAATGATTCTGAAAACTGCTAGGGCGGACGAAATTAGCTGCTCACAGGCGAACCACATTTGCCCAACGTACCTTAACCTCGGGAGCCTTCCAACTGGGACCCCGAAACTTCCGGGCTTTAATGGATCTTAAAGATCACAGAAGTGGTGATTATCGCAACCCCCAAAAAGTCTTGACAACCCGAACGAAATTGAAGGGGAAAAGCATGCTATGGCCGAGGCTAATGTATCAGTAGTTATTCACTGACTAAGTAAAAAGGAAAAAAAAAGCATCACATAGAGTAAAGCTCTGTTTGAAAGACGATTTTAGATTCCAAAACCCAACGGCTTATCAAGAAAGCCAACAAAAAACCCAGAAATCTTCACTAGATCAGGTTAAAACAAACTCGGGTGTATGCCTAAGACATGAGGACTCTTTCTTTTTTTCGTCGCTTAGAATGTTGAGAGTTTTTAAAGTCACAATATTATCCTCATCTTTGAGCTTAGATCGCTGAGGTTTGCAAGGTGCCCCGCCGGAACCCAAGGTGCCGTGCGATGCGGTAGAGATTCGGTGCGCCCACCAAAAAAAAAAGTCATCAAACCACCAGCCCACCTTGTTGATCGAGGTTGCTGCTATCTCTTGTGACAGAGGCCAGGATCACTTTCGCGCGCGAAGCGAGCAATACTAGTGGAACCCCCCCGGTGAGCAATGTCCGCTTTTAGAAAAGACTGATTTATTAACACGTATCACTACTGAACAATGAGGATATCATATCTGGGGAGGAGGGCATCGGAAGGTTCAAGAATCAAATGGGTGACCGTTGGGTGCAAGAACGATCGTTGTAGCAGCGCGATCCAATCTCCGAAGAGCAAAAAAAGCAACTCTTGGTCTCCTTGGATCTGAGCTGAGAGCTTCGCAGCAACTGCAGCCCTTCACCAATCGCGGATTCGTGCTACCTTCGGGGCTCAGATGTCAACTGGGCATCGTCGGCGGAATTTCCTCACTCGGGGTGAACCTCCTGCTCTTCGGAATGTGCTGGTTGCTGCTGGAGCATAGTATCGCCAGGAACCTTGGAGGCGGTTGCAGGATAAAACCAGTTGGAGGCAGAACTAGGGCACGGTACGATACGAGCACCATGAATCAAAGGGGAAAAAGTCTAGAGCTCTTTTGGTATTTTTGGCCCAACCGAGCTCTGGCGGCCTTCCGTGTGTATAGATGTACCGTACAGTCCGATACTCTTACAAGCACACTGAAATATGGTATGATACTCTGACACCCAGCATTCTTTCGGAATGACCATCTGACTTGGGAGGAACGAACAACGCATACATCGGTTCTGCTTTCAGGTGAGGGGGAGACAGCTTCCTTTTTCTTTTCTTTTTCTTTTCTTTGCAGAAGCAATAAACAGCAAGACCCCGAAGGTGAATACTTTTTCCGAGTGTCGTGGTTTAATATTAGGTATCTGAGGCCTTCTACGATAACCATTGACTAATAATTTATTTATGGACGAGTAGTAGTGAGTAAAATATTAGACTCACGGTACCGGTACGAGTACAGTACAGTACAGCGCAGACGGCGCATTCCCAAAACGTACCGAATAAATATTGCTCTCCTCTTGCAACATAACCACCATTTATTACTGGAATGATCCGCATGCAGCGAAAAAACTCGGATAAGGCTGAAATGGCCCCAAAATAATGGCTGCGCAGAAGAGGAAATGGGTTTTATGTTGTTCCTGCGCATGCAGATGCCCCCCCAACATCTGGGAGACTCACGGTGGTGGGTTAGTGGTCCCAATCGAACCTTGCAAGCAGAAACGCAGCGGGTAGCGATCCATGCAAGAAGGATGCAAGATCCATTTCCACCATTATAATTTCGACCGTTTCAAGTTTGTCTGGGTTTTGGGGCTATTCGCCTGGTTTACCATAGCACCGGTGGCGAGATCCCCTTGGATAAAAAAGAAAATAATCTTGAGCGAGGGGGGGAAGGAGGTAGCAAATTTAGCCCTCTGGTCTGAATGGCTGACCCTATAATTTGGGAGTACTGATACCGTGCCGGTAGGCCAACGGAAATACCCAAGAAATGTCAACCGTTGTTCCTGGGATATCTATCGATCCATCTTACTGCTCCGGTACAAGTACGATATTCACGTTGCTCCACCGGTAGTCCCACGAATAACAATTGTACGTCTCAAAAAACAAAAAAAATGATATTCCAGATATCTGCGGTACAACAACGGCAACAACCAATCTGTGGAAAGGTGGATGGGGATGGAAGCGGAGAGTGAGAAAGGGTCGTATGCAGTCCATCATAATGCATGGCCTTGGGGGGAAACCGGGATCCCCTGGTGGGGGAAAAAATAAGATACTTCCAAGAGGATAGAACTAACCATAAGAACACAAAGGAAAGGAAAAGCTATCAAAACTAATGATAAAAAAGATAGGGCCTTCCCGATATCTAGTCCACCCTTTTCCATGCTCTAAACCAATGACCCATGTTCTCCGCAAGTGCGCCAGTTCCATGTAACTCTATATAACAATAATAATGACGAATCAGAATGAAGAAATATGAAAAAGGAATAGAAAAAAAAAGAAGTGGGCTCGAACCTGATGGAAAGGTATCACAGCAAGTAAAGGAAGGGGGTAAGGGAGGAGGGTGGGTAAGCAAAGAAGTGAGATATAATAATGATGATGCGCTGGCCTAAACAAATCGAGAAAACGACGGAGGGGAGGGGAAGGGAAGAAGAAAAGAAACCGGAAAGAAAAAAAAGGAAAAAAACATCCAAAACAAATATCCAAAACAAATATCCACCGTATGACAGAAGCTAGCAGAGAGGGTAGGTAGCTATTATAGCTTGTTTCGCACGGAGCAGGCATTTCCCAGAGCAGGATGGTCGCGGAACAAGCCCATCCTCATCCTCAGGAATAGTCGGGTTAGAAGAACCATGTGAAATGTCTTCATCCTCCTCGTCGTCTATTGGCGACGGTACCAGTATTAGTGATGAATGGTCCAGGGCAGTGCCACTGCTACGCTTCAAAACCCGCGAGCCCTGGTCATCCCCACCGAGTGCAATTTCAGCATCGGAAACCGAAATGAAATGTCCACAACAACCTCCGCCACTTGCAGCAAATCCACCAATCCCGCGTCCTCCACCTCCTCCGGTGATGTCTTTAATAATGTCTCCACCACTGTATAAGGGAGCGGCCATATTTCTCTGATCACAACCGTTGCACTTCACGTGTTGACATTCGGACCATGTACAGACGTTCTTCTCGGCTTGGACTGTCATCCAGCCATTGTCGCACTTGCAGCAGCGCCAGCGGTAGGGCATTGGAGTTCTTTCTTTTTACTGTTCGGATCTCCCTCTTTCTTTCTTTCTTTCTTTCCGGTGGCAGGAGGAGGGAGCTGACAGTCGTCAAGCGTCAAGCTTTGCAGTTTACTTGTAGGCTGCGGTACTAGACATCGGATGGTGATGTTAGTTGGGCTTCTAGATGAAAACCACTACTGGTGGTATGAACGCGGAACTAAGTTAACGTACCAATTGACTACCGGTAATTGACTAAACTCTGTTTTGGAAATTCTCTCCCACTTTTTTCTCCCTTCGAAATTCTCTTTTCGGAGGTTATATCTTTCTTTCTTGCGCGCACTAAGCAGAGGCGAAAGAAAAGAAAGGAAAAACCTGTCAGCTGCTCATTCTTATCGATAGAATTTATATAAATAGTTGGATGACGTACGATTCAGGGATTGCCTAGCTGGCAAGCAAATAAGCCCCCACTTCTTCTTTGGCCGGTGTAGGATATAGATGTTCGGGACAGGTAACAAAATGTGTTCTGAAGTTCAAAGCAACAACAAAGCTGGCTGAATATAATAACCGTAGTGTGTGCGAAGTATACTGGCTGACAGTACTGACCGGTATGAATGCAAAACTTGGAGGGGGGAGGTGACAAAAGGAAAACGAGGTGGGAGTAGTTCCCCGTTTTATATATTTTGCTGATTGTACTTTTTTTTTCCTTCCCTCATTTCTCTTCCCACTCCCACCCTCGTATCCCGTCCCACCACCACCACCGTGTCCGGGGGTGGGCCTTCCCACTCATTACTCCCCTCCCTCACTCACTCATCATCCATTCTAGGGTATCTTTTGAAACAGGCTTACTTTTTACTTTTTTTCCTACTCTACTTTTCCTTACTGCTTGATTGCAAGCTTGCTTGCTTGAGCAAGGTAGAGTTGTACTTTTTCCTGTCAAAAGGTCCTGGCTATTCCATCCGTCCATCCACTCTTTCCACCTCTTATCCCCATCCCCCTGTTCGTTATCCGATCCTGACCACCACCCCCCAAGGGAGAACAACCCGGAAGGAAGACAATGGATTAGAAATTGTTGCAGCCAATTGAGAGCTGTATGGGTTGATGACACTTCAACTAGATAGAGATGGAAATTCTACACTTCTAACGAAACAAGGCTGAGCAAAAAAAGAGAGAGAGAAGAGTGCCAAAAAGATAGGTGATTATTCCAAAATGACGGAATTACGCAGTACTATTGATACGTTGCTCTGTACTGTACTGTATCATACTAGGGTGCAGGCCAGGTTCTCCTGCCTACACCCTCCTTCCCCCCATTACCCACCGCCCGCTCACTCGCTCGCTCACCTGTTGGCATTCTCTTAGCCCACCGCCCGCACTTGTCCGTGGAGCAGGAGTCGCCCTACTGTACGGTACTGTACAGTACGTTGTTCTCCATGTGTGCCCGGCCGCAAAGGGAACAATAAATAATGTTTCTAGAAAATGGTACCTAATTTATTTCCCCCACCAACGTGTTTACTGCGAGGAAACGGCTAGCCTGTTTGCCCGTCCAGCGAGGCCAGCTAGTACTGAGCAGTTACTCGAGTACAGCCAGCCAGTCGGCCAGTCGGCCAAACGAATAGAGTTATCACGGATTCCGATGGCCCATCCTCTACCGTATTCTAACCCTCTAGACTCCACTAATGTTGCACTTTCTATTACTTCCTCCAACTCCACCACCACCACTACCTCCCCCCGGCTCCTCCTCCGTCTTTTCTCCTGTGCTCCTCCTGTCCTTTCCTCTGCACATGCTGCTACCGCAGCTACTCGAGCAGACTGCCCACCCCGCCATGACGAAGTCGTGCATGGTATGTGCGAAAGATCGAACGATAGCTACCGGTCTCTTACTTTTGGAACTGGTGCAAGTGGACTCAACCAATGCCCTGCTGTACTCGGGTATTACCTATGGCCAATTAGGGGAATTGCGTGCGCGAGAACAAAATTGGAGCTAGGGCAACAAATTTTCTTACATCAATCCGCATATAGAATGGAGAAATTGAGCAATAATGCAGTTCATTTTAAAATGGCCATTATTTCCTTTTCGTCGATTTACGGACTTTTTTTTTTTAGTAGCGGCGTTAGTTATGGTGGGGGGGGAGGGGGGTGGATGAGGTTTGGTTCTTTCTTTTTTTCTTTTTTTATTATTTTAAATGTTGGCGCTGGATGCGGTGCTGCGAGACGCAGGCTATTGGTCACGTTGTCAACTAGCGGTCAAAAGGAAAACTACCGTGGTGACAGGATATCATACAGATCATACAGTACGAGTACTTTACGTAGGAGAGCTTGGTACTCGAGTAGAGAGAGGTGTGCATTGTGTGCAGTCGCAGAGTGTTCCATCATACAGACCCTGAAGAGGGTGTGTCCCAACTATTTTTCCCTTTCCTCCCTGTACGGTATCATACTCGTACTCGAGCACCTTTCTGCTCCGTGACCTAACTCAGGTGCAGTGGGATACCGCGGCCGTTGTTGTTTCCCACTATACCAGTGCCCCCTTCCCCTTTTCCAAACGGATTGCTAACACCAAGGGAAACAGGGAAAAGATAAGGCCGAAAAATTCAGGCGTCTGCTCCCTCGCTAGGGCCTGTAATCCGAGCATGTACTGTACTCGTATAGTAGGAGTATTAACGGAGGGGAACGGTTTGAGAATGGAAAGGGGGAAGGAAAAACATCTCACATGATCTCTAAAATCCCACGGAACCGGTTCTGCAACCGAAGAGCCCATCGCCTGTCGTCGGTGGGGCATTTTCTCGAGGGGGTAACGGTACCTTAATCAAGACTTAATTGGCGGGTTAGACTATGGACAGGCTAATTTCTCTTACGAAGCTGCCTCCACTCGTACAGTGATACCTACCGGTGGCCGATAAGATGTATTATCGGAATGTCCAGAGCTTCCAAACGAAACGGTTGTCAGAAGAGCTTACCCGGGTATCATAGCTTTCTTCGTCTAACGTGTTACTGGATACTGCAAGTCCAAGCGTTGTAGCAGTTGGGTTCAGCTTCTCGTTCGACTGCTGTATGATACATCTTCCCATCCATCTCCTCCCCTCCCCCCCCTCGTCGACCGTGCTGGCAGTCTAGCAACTCGCCCAACCCAATCGATCCCGATCGTGATAATATCACTCCCCGCGCCCAGCAAGGTAGTTTGCTCAGCCCTTAATCTCAAACGATGAGGTAATTAAGGTTCTGCTTCCAGGACTTTAATAACAGTTTCGGCTGCCGTGGCGTGCCGCTCACAGACGCATTGGTGATCATCCCGCCACACACGTCCCCCAACCTCATCATCATACCCAACCAATACTCGTACTGCGTACCCTTTCGTCCAGTGTCTCACGAGCTGTCCATCTTCATCACTTTATCATACTTGTACATCAGAAAGTACTCGTACCCTACCGTACCGTACTCGTACGTTCCCCTCCCTCAATCAGTCGGAACACACGTGCCCGTCCGGGAGATCTACGGGAGTTCGGGATCGTCAGGGTTTCCTATACGAGTAGGCTTGCGCCCGCTGTGAAACTCGACGGCTCACTTTTATACCGCTTGTTTGACGCCATCATCATACCATACTATACCATACCGGTACTCGAGTACTTTCCACTTCCATTTCTCATTTTTTCTTTCTTTTATCCAGCAAACCGTTTTGTCTCGTCTCTTCGTGGTTATATCGATTCGGTCTTCGTTCTTAAGTTTATTCCAGTTCACGGGTACGTGAGTCGGCGTCCACATATTTCGCTCATGGGGTTCGACTTTCCCTTCTGGTACAAATATTGCACCATTTGCACTCCTCAGGTTCTATTGCAGTTACCCTATTGGCCCGATCCCTTGGCCCCACTCCCCTCTCTTTCTCCTCATTGATGCGGGGGAGGGGTGGAGGTGGAGGTGGAGAAAATGCCAATTATCGGGCATTTGTCCTATCTTTTCAAGGCTGGCGAACAATCTCCTGGCGGACAGACCCGACCGGGACCGAAAGAGGAAACGAACTCTAGGCGCGGGTACCCGCCTCCATCAGATTTGGGCTTGAAGAATATCGCTGATAAGTTTTCCAACCATGTGCATGGCTCGCCTTGTGCTCCTCGTGCACAGGTTCCTACGCAGTGCGCACTGGCCTTCACGAAAGAAAAAGGAAAAAGAAAAGAGAAAAGGTCCGCTCGAGCACGGGCGGGCTTCGCGGATGAATAACGCGAAGAACCCGACGCAGTACAGTATCAATCCCAAAGCCAACAGCAAGTGACCAGCTGATGGTGAGATTCACCAAATGGAAAAAAAAGAAAGAAAGAGGAGAAGGAAATAGTAAACCCATTGAATATGGTACTCTTATCACACTTCTTGCGCCCCGAAAGCTAGTTGTCGTGCGCCTGACCATTAGCACAAAATATAGTCTAGCACTGCATTGCGCTGTATCACGCTGCACTTGATGATATGATAGAAAGGAAGTGCGGATCAAAAGGGGAGAAAGTGCTAATCCTCCCTCCATCATCCATCCATCCACCCATCGGTACCTCTTCTGCCAAATATCTGGTGCATGCCACTGGTTAAGGCCCATCTTCCTTCCCGATACGAGAAGGAATTAGGGATGGGAGGAGAGGTACACTAAGCAACGCTATTGCCGCCGCTTCCTGGGAGCGAGAGATAGCGAATTGTAGGAAATTGGGAAATTTGGGTGGAGGGAAGAGATCACGGCCGAAGATGATTCCTTTGGAATATTTCCATCTGTCTCCCCCCTCGACTGGCCGATCAATTGTGCTTTGCGCAACTTCAGCCAGCGCAGAGGTATCACACCGCGAAGGGTTACAACTTGTGACTACTGACTCGTGCTTAGAGTGTTTCGGGGCGATGAGTGCTAGTGTGGTTGGCGTCCGGTGCCACACCAGTACTATATACCGGTGATATTAGGTTGAGCGCGGGGGGTGGTTAGAAGAATGATATAGTTATAGCACTTGCAGAAGGGTTGAATTGAGTTGAGTTTGAATTCAATTGGGTTGCAACTACTGTAAAATAGAGTACAAAGCCGGGGAACACAGGAATGTGCAAGTGAAGAACAAAAGCAAAGCGATGTAATGTAGATGAATGAATAACAAAAGTCTAGCTGATAAAACAACCTCCCCAAACACGCTCTGACAAAACAGTCTCTCAGGAAAATCGGGAACGGAATTTCGGAAAGCCTGAGACCGGCCGTCCATCAATCAATCAAGATCAAGTGGAGCACTGCATAGGGCATCCAAAGGGGGCGAATCAGGAGGAAAGAAGCAAAAGAAGCAAAAGAAGTAGAACGTGCAAAAACACGTAAAAGAGAGAGAGCAGCCCTGTGCGACAATAAAGACGAGATGATAATAGGCACCATATTATGCCCAAAAACAAAGAAACCTAAGGTTTGACTGCCTAGGCTATCCGCGATCGAGGGACCCAGCCGGGCAAGACAAGACAACTCAGCAGATACGTAGGCAGGCAGTCTGGAAGGGAGGTGTCGCAGCCCCACGATGCTGGGGAGCATCCATGCGAAGGGTAGAGGTTAGTTGAGCTAAACCCCACAGATCCTCAAGATGAGAGAGAAAACAAAACAAGTGAATAAATCGCCGCCGTCGTAGTTGTCGCCGTTGCCGTCGCCTCACGAACATCGCACACGGACGAGGTGCAAAGGAAAGAAAGCTGAAAGAGCGAAGGATTGTAGCAAAATTCAATAACTGGGGCGGGTGGATAGCGGATCGTAAGGGCGATTTTGCAGACCGCTACCGTATGGTACAGTACCGGTAGGTGAAGTCCCACACCAGTAGGAGAAAAGATAAAAATAAAAAAATAAAAAAACCTCCAAAAGGTCAAGAAAAAAACGGTTTTAAACATTTTTCTCCCAATTTTTTTCTTTTATTCCTTGTCCCAGCGTAGCCTCGCCTCCTACCTTCCACCCGGAGCCAGAAAAAGTAACAATAGAGAGAAGAAGGGAATAAAAAGAAAAAATAGAGACAATAAAGAAAATAACCCTAAACCGCGCTTGTATTCCCGAATAGGATAACTAAGCGAACGGTGTGGGATTTCGCCAAACTCCACGTGTAACCAACCGATCTAATCGCAAATCCCAAATGACGTGAAACACCGTTGCCGTAGTGAATGATCGTCGCAACCCGGTTTTTTTTTTCATCACCCATCCGTTCGTGAAATAAGAATCTATGGAGGACGACAATTAATTTGAGGTGAAAAACTCGACTCCTTGCAAACCGAAGTTGATGGTTGGGTGATTGGTGATGTGCTGAGGGAGATTGTTGGGTGTATCCGTAATTGTTGGTAAGGAGTGGTTGCGGGTGTTGGAGCAGCCGGGCTCACTTGCCTCGGTGGTCGGAAGTGATATCAAAACTGTTGTAGGAAGAGTTTCATAGGCAATTGGAAAGGTGGATAGTGCCAAAGACACGAAAGAGTGTGCTTGCTGCCTGTGCCTGCGACGAGGTATGTACCCGCAGTTTGCACAGCCAACATCGAGGAGAGGATTGTGGGGTCCATAACCACAGCTTGGCTAAAGGAGGTTATGGTAAGCCACATACAATCTATGGGATACAGGTCGGGAGTCATCACTTACGCAGTACCAAGCATCGGGGGTTGATATAGTGCCGGCGCCGTTGGTAGACATAGTGTTGAAATTAGTATGAGCGTTGGTTTGTGCTAAATTTTTTTTAGAGTGAGGAGAGTGGCAGAAGGTATGGGGTTGCCTTTATGTATTTTGGAAGTTGCTTTGTGTCGTAGAGGGGGTAGAAAGTCGAAGGCTTGAAGAAGAGTATGAGTGCGTTCTTGTTCTGAGAATAATAGAGAAGTGTCCAGTGATGATGTTTTCAGACCAAGGAATTCCTAGGCCTTTTATGCTGGACCCAAGAAGGAGACAAAATTATGGTAAAGAGCGAGCGGGTTAGGGTAATTGCAGAACGTAGGAGTCAGCATTAGAGGGGGGGGTAAGGTAGGGCAATACTTGGAGGCCCAGAAAACCGTAACTAAGCACTCAAGGCTCTCAGGCTAGTCGCGGTCATGACGAAATCCACTACGAACAGTCTTCAGCTGTGGATGACCATCGAGAGGTCGCCTTGTCCTCTGCTTTAGCAAAGGGAATCCGACATCATGAACACTCCCCAGATATGACTGGAAATACCCCAAAGGGGAGACATATGTGACACACAAAGTACTTCATACTCCGGGAGATACAAAGAGCTCTGTTTTCGGGATATCTAGAGTGGAATGAAGCGGCTTCCCTCGGCGTAGTTAGGTAGAAGCACTAGGTGGTGATGAAGGGTATCGTCGATCATCCTAAGGACGTGCACAACAGTAAAAACTCTAGGCTTGCAGAAAAAGGAGTCATATGAATAGCAACAGATAGTAGAGTACGTAGAAATAGGCCTTACCCTATAGGTCAACAGTCAGGGGCTACCAACCCCCTAATTCCACAATATTGGCAAGAGGTGAGTCGCCTCCCGACCCAAACCATTTTGGGTAGGTTTTTTTAGCAATAACAAAAATACCAGGTACTTTGAGATACCAGTTCGAAGATTCGGGCCCCGCGGGCCAAGAAGCGATCGCTGGTACTGGGACTGACCCATAAACCGGTGTCCGAGTGCGAATCATATGCGCCCGCTGGGCTAACAGAATTTCTAGAACACTCGTGGCCAGTTGGTGCCTTGTCGGACGGAACCGCTGAAGGTCGTCACCGTAGGGTGGGGGGTTAGCAAGCATTATTATTGTGGGTAAAATGTTTGTGGGAGACGAGGGTGGTCCGTGGGTGTCATCTTCGTTTCCCCCAATCATCCTTCAGCTTCCGGGATACATTTGAGTTCAATGAATCGTAAATAGAAACCCCTAACCCTGGGCTGCGGAGCCTCATCTTGGCGCACGTTAGCACTCAACATTAGTTTCGCCGAGCTCCATACCTATCTGCCTCCCGTGCCCTTGCGAGCATCCGAGTACAAGAAACCCGAAGGCGGATAAATGAAGCTTTCGGCTTCGTGGGCGGTGCTTTGCCCCCGTTCCGTTACTTTTTCCTCACACAAAAGAATCTGGCTATGCTGGGAAATTTTGTTGGAGTGCCTTGGTAAAAAGTGCCATCTGCTCTATCGTGATTCGTAAGTTAGTAATTGTTTTATGTGCCGCTCCACCACTGAGGGTCCTGACGAACTGCCAATACCCAAGTGCGCACAATCGCAGAGCGGCGAGAGTATTCAGCGATTAGGCCAGCTGAGATATCAAAACAAATCCCCTCCCATCTGGGACCAGCCACTCTAATTTCTCAATGCTCCAGAATGCCGCTGCTGGCATATAGCTCATTAGAGCTTTATCGATAAAGCAAACTCTCCGGGAAACAAATACTGACATGTAAGCTCTGTCCCGTGGGCGGCCATGAGTCACGGTCCGAAAATATTGGGATCCTTGTCGGCTTTGGTTGTTTTGTTGTGGGGTTGGGTTGCTGCGGACCAAGCTACTGGTATTGCTACCGGTACCACATCGACGTCGACCATGAACCCCTCCTTACCCCTCCTCCCCGAATGCTATCCACCCCACCTTTACCTGCCGTCCTTGCTATGCTCTTCGCTCTCCGGTTGGGAGAGCACTGGCGTGGAGAAGAGAGCCGAGAATACTCCCACTTGTTTCTCCTTTTGACGATTGGTCTCTGGAGACACAATTCGTAAACCATGCGTTCTAAGCGAGCTTCGTCTCCAATTCATAACAAGTGATTCGTTACTCCCACTCGAGTAACTTACAGCCACTGACACCTAATTTCTCTGAACGTGTGTATTGCTAGGTAGGAAGGTAGCTATAATATCGTAGCTAATGGCCGAAGCTATTCCGATCCAGTGGCAGGGAGCTTATGAACCGGGTTTCTCCTCTATGTTGCGTCAATCAAACTTTGCCCTGATGACTCGTTTCCCTTCAGTCAAATTAGGAACAGGTGACAATACTTTGACCAAAGGTGCGTTGTGCCTTGTGGTGCTCCTTTTGTCCAAGTTTACCGTTTGTTATTCTGGAGCGAATGAAATTCCTGGTCAATGGGAGAGCGGAGCGCCCCGGGGTACCGCCGGTAATAACCTGAAATGATCCCTCTAGGTACCAGCAGAACAGGCCTGGGAGATGCTGATACGGTATTCGGGGATAAGTTTATTCTGAGGGGTCAAGGCTGCCGTTTTCGCGTTACTAAGGTAACGCCGGAATAGGTAGCTGTTTGCACTATCCACAAGAGGATAAGCGACTGTGCCTTGAGAGACAGGCCAAATGTATCAATGCCATTCACTGTATTACGATTTTGGAAGAGAATTAAATATCTCACCTTGGCTGCTCGGTCTGAGAGATATCATATATCATCAAATCGGTGGAAGAGGTTTCCTGCATAGAAACCCAGAGTGCCGTACTTGTGCTAAAGAAGACACCGCTTCAGCGACTTTCACCACCTTATAAACTCTGCCTTCTTCCTTACATTCGCAACCCTTCCGGCCCTTTTGAAAGCTACTCTACTACTCACACAGCGGACTGGAAGAATATGGACCTCCCGTTGAGGGTAATGTCTTGAAATGACTCCCGGGGCCGTGGCTCCCCAATGCCTGTTAGTTATTCTGGCAACGGTAGAAACTTGACGCCGCCGCTCCCTTTAAGGGAGATGACTCCCATGAAACATGCTTTGGGGAGGTCCGACTGTGATTCCATAGCTGGTGAAGGTCTGTAGAGCTACCTGTTTACCAACCGTTGTGCTAACCAATAGTGCCCGTGACCCGGACTCGCAACTGCGATATTGGTAGATTCTCTCGCAAATTCTCGCCGACCCCACCCGACGGAATGGCCATTCTACCAGACGTTGAAATCTTGAAAAATCCTAGCGGCTGATCGCTTGGTAGATGAAGCAGCCAGGATGATATGATGCTCGAGTAGCGTCAAGACTAAGATCAAGCCAC